GGCTCGGCTCGGCTCGGCTCGGCTGCCCGTCGCGCGCTCGCGGGCGGGCGGGCGGGCGGGCTCGGCCGCGCTTAAAGGCGCAGGGCCGCCTCCCCTGCGCCGCCCGGCCTCGCTCCGGGCGCAGGGCCGCTCGCCTTTAAGGCGCGGGTTCTTGCCCGCCGACTCACCCGCGGCCTGCGCGTCAGGCGCCGCCGAGGCCCACCGACCGCGAGAACGCGCCTTGCTCTTCAGTGCGCAGGCGCGGGCAGGGGCGCCTCCGACCCCGCCCGCCCCTTAAAGGCGCAGCAGCCCTTTCTGTCGGAGGCCGCGAAATTCGCCTGCGCAACAGGGGCCCTTTGCTTGCCGTGCCCGGAAGCGCTTCCTGACAGTCGGGACGCCGCGGGTCTGGAACGGGCTTCCCCGGGGGGTGGCTGAGGCCCCATCGGTGCGGGTGTGCAAGGACAGGCTGGACATGCGCATGGTGGGCATGTCATGAGTGGAGCCGGGGGTCAGACTAGATGACCCGGGGGTCCCCTTCTGACTCGCTCTGTTGCTATGTTAAGAGCTGGTTGTCGCTTTTTTTTTTTTTTTAGATTTTTGCAAACTAGCGTAGATGCATCTGCATCCACTTTCTCGCCCCTGGGCTCCAATCCCCCCTCCCCCCATTTCCCAGCAACTCCCTAATACTGAAGGTGCGGCAGAGCCATGAGGACTAGCGGCCACTTTCTGCAAGACTGAAAGGCAGGATCCCTTCTTGGTCATCCAGGAGTGCAGGAATCCCCCCCCCCCCCCGTAACAGTGGCAAGGGAGAGGAGGGCAGGGCCTGGCTAGACATGGCCAAGACCTTCTGAGGGGGCCCGTGATCCAGGGGCTCGTCCGTCCTGGAAGCCTTCCGGAGGCAGCTGGGCAGGCACTGGACTCGGTTGTCCCGCTCCTCTGGGGCTGTATGGCAAAGAGGACCAGCAGCAACAAGGAACGCGGGGCAGGGAGATGCCGGTGGCAACCCGCCAGACCTGTCCCAGCTGCAGCGCTGGCCTGCTGGATTCCTACTGAGCTGGTGCAGAGTTCCCTTCCCAGCCCCAGAGAGACCCGGATGGCCCAGGGAGTGAGGGCAACGATTGATTCCAATTTATTTATATTATATTGTTATGTATTTTGGAATTTTATTTGTGTAAGCCGTCCTGAGGCTCCTGCAAAGGATGGCATACAAATATCATTCATACATTCATAAATATAAAATCAATGGGAGTGGATATAAAAATTAAAATAAAATAAATGGAAGTGGACCCCTCGTGACACCAGCAGCAAAGGGGCCACCAGAAGCAGAAGCCCCAACCCCCAAGTCCCCTGTGCAAGCGGGGAGTTGCCAGGGCAGGGTAGGGGTGCCCAGCTGCTCCTCCAGAAACACTGGACTACACATCCCATCTTCAAGTTCCTGAGGAAGGGCCACGGCTGCTGCAGAACAGGGCAGAACACATGCCTCTCCGGGCCCTCCGGGGACCCTGCAGCCCCCATTTCGCTCGGGGGGCCTGAAGCGGCACCCTGGCAGCAGTCCCCCCCCCCCCAATCTTCTGCTCCGCGGGAACCAATCTCAGCGAGACGCAGGGCCCGAGGCTGAGCCCACCACACCACTCCCCATCTCCACGGCCCACCCGCCACAACTCACACTCAAGAGTCAGTACAGAAAAATATTCATTATTTTATTCCTCCCTTTTTTCATAAAACCAGTTCCCAGAAGTTTGGGGCAAACATACATACCCAGGCACCCATGCCCCCCACGTACCCAGAAGCAGCAGCACTGTGCCGCCCCCCCCACCCCACCCCACCCCCCGCCCCATCCCCCCCACCGGGGCACCCCTGCAGTCCAGCCAGGCCCACCGTTCCGCTGGGCCCTCCGTCAGCCCCACTGAGGCGCCTCTGGCCGGGGCGCTAGTCGGAGTCCGACAGCACGATGATCTCCTCCGGGTCACACTGGGTCGCCACACTGGCCTAGGCGGGGGGAGAGGGGGTCAGGACGGGCGGCCCCCCAGGCGCGCTCCCCCCTGGCCTGCCCCGTGCACGGCCCCAACCCCGGCGCGGGGACCAGGGCCCCCGGAGCGGCAGGAAGCGGCCCCGGACAGAGCGGCCACCCCAAGCAGGTGGGGCCAGAGACGGGCAGGCCCCACGAGCCACAGGGCTGGCAGGGGAGGGGCCGCCCCAGCATGCCGGGGCCACGAGGGTCAGCCCCAGGACGCGGGGGTGCGGCAGGGAGGGGGCCGGGGCCTCGGTCCCCCGGGGTCGAGCACGTCCTCCCAGTCCAGGCCCGGCTTCCACAGACCGGCGGGGCTCCGCAGCACGTGGGGCAGGGGCCTTCTCCAGCCTCGCCTGAAGCCAGAGTGGGGGTGGACCCCCGGCACCTCCCTGGGGTGCCAGAAGAGCTGGGCAGGGCCGGCTGGCGTGGCCCCCCAGGAGATCCAAGGCAGGGCGGGGGCAGCCGGCCCATCCCGGAGCCCTCCCGGCTGCGCCCCCCCGCCCCCCGGAGCACCCCTTACCTTGCAGACCTGGAGCAGGAGGTGCTGCGGGCTGCCCTGGGAGCTGGAGACCAGGCCGGAGCTGGGGGAGTCCGCGCAGGTGGAGTCCACGACGGGGGCCGGGCTGTGCAGGGAGAGCGAGCGCAGCGGCCCGCCCCCGCCCCCGTCCTCGTCTTCCTCGGAGGAGGAGGAGGAGCCCGTGCTGGGCACTTCTATGCAGCTGCTGAGGGAAGGGCCGGAGTCAGCCGGGGGCAGCCCCTGCCCGCTCTGGGCCCCCCTCCCCAGGGACGCCCCCGCCCCCCCGGGGCCCGGGCGAAGGACCCCTCCCCCCCGGGGGTCACCTGTTGGACACCCGGTGCTCCTGCCGGGCCTTCTTGCCGCGGGGCTGCCCATTGACCTCGTGGAGGGCGGTAATGTCCGCCGGGAGGGGGCCCTCGTGCTCCGGGGACCAGGCCCGCTTGGCCGGCACGGGGGGTTGCTGCTCCGGCAGGGGGAGGGCGCCCCCCGGCTCAGTCCGACGAGGGGGCGGGGGGGACGGCTTGGGGGACGGCGGGGGCGTCTCGCCCGCCTCCAGGGACAGTGCTTCCTCGATGGCCAGCAGGAACTGCTCCGGGGCCGTGCCGGGAGTGGGCGGCTTGTCGGAGGGGCTGGGCGGCTCCTGCTGCTGTGGCGGCGGGCCCTCCTCCGCCTCCACGTCCTCCTCGCTCTCTTCCTCCTCCTCCTCCTCCTCCTCCTCCTCGTCTTCTTCGTCCTCTTCCTCCTCTGGGTCTTCCGCAGAGGAAGACAGGAGCATGCGCTGGTCGGCTTCCATCTCGGGCTCCAGGGGGCCGTCCTCTGCGGGGGGAGAGTCGGCATCAGGAGTGGCACGGTGCCCGTCTGTCCCCAGCCAGGGGCGCCCAGGATCGGACGCCCCACAAGGCTGGGCGGCGGGGCTCGGTCACAAGCTGCCCCGGAGGCCGGACTGCACGCCGCAGCGCCCGATGAACCGGGGCAGCTTTTGCTGGGAAAAGCCGGGTGAGCTGCCCCTTCGTGTGCGGGGGCCCCACATTCCAATCGGCATCCGCCTGGTCGGCTGCAGAGAGGCGGAAGCTGCTGACCGGGACCCCCGGCCGTGCCTGGCCGGCGATGCTGGGAGCTGGGGCCCGGGATGTGCCCCTCGAGCCCCCGGGAGAGGGGCAGAGAGCGAGCCGTGGCCGCACGGGGCCCCCCACCACCGGACCATCGCCCGCCCCCCCTGCGGAGCAGCTTGGGGGCGCCGTCCGGCAGGAGCCTAAGGCCAGGGGTGTGGGGGCAGCTCTGCTCCTGCCAGTGACCCAGCCTCTCCGGGGGGAGGGGGGAGCAGGGAAGGGCCGGGGACCCACAGCAGGAGCAGGGGGCGAGAGCAGCGGGCTGCGGGGAAGGCTGGAGGGGGGCCCCGGAGCCGGGCAGGCCAGGCACGCCCCTGGGCCCGGCCTGCCGCGCTGCTCCACCGGTGCCGCTGGGCCGGGGCCGCGCTCTCCCGCCCTCCGTGGCAGCACAGCCGACCTGGCACAGGGCCCTCTCTGCCGAGGCACTTCTCCAGCTCCTCGTCCATATCCAGCTCAGAGGAGGACGACTCCTCGTCTTCCTCGTCCTCCTCGTCCTCCTCCTCCTCGTCCTCCTCTTCCTCGTCCTCTTCTTCGGCCTCTTTGTCCCCCGCCTTCGGAGCCGGGCTGCCCTGGCAAACAGGAAGGGCAGGCGAGCGCTGGGCATCAGCCCCACTCCTGGCCAGCCAGGAAGGGGGCTCCTCTGGCCCTCAGCAAGGCAGGCCGGGGCGAGGTTCGGGGTGCTCCTGGCCCACGCCCCCGGGGAGCAGGGCCAGGCGCCCGAACGGCCATGGGAACGCGCGGGGACCGCCACCGCCGCACCCCGTACCTGTCCGCCGGTGGCGGCCGCAGCAGCGCCGGGCTTCTGGGGCGAGAGCGGCTCGCCCCGGGGCTGCCCAGGGGTCCCGCTGGGCCCTGCCCGGGGGCGCCCCCCCTGCCTGCACCACTGCCACTCCTCCGCCTTCTCCTGCAGCTGGGCGTACTGCGAGGTCACCTCCTCCAGGCGCCGCAGCGAGAGCACCCGGTTGTGCCGCAGGCGCCGGGCGAGTTCGCTGTCCAGCAGAGCCGGGTCCGTATCTGCCATGGCGGGGGGGGGGGGGGGGGGTCAGGCCCGTGGCACGGCCCCCAGGCAGAGCGGCCGGCCGGCCGGCCCCTGCACCCCCCGCAATGCGGCACCCGCCCAAAGGGCCTTGACGCGCTCGGCCACAAGGCCTCCGTGGAGGCCCCACGTCCACGGGGCGGCGGCGCTCCCGCACGGCACGTTTGTCCTGGGAGCCGTGAGGGCCCTGCCGGGCTTGGTCCCCGGCATGCTGAAGCCTGCAAGGGCCTCCGGGCAGGGGTCGCCCTCTTGGGCCGAAGGGCGGGAGGAGAGCCCAGGAGGGGCACGGACAGGAGCACGCAGGCCTTCGGGGGGCAGGCGGCCCCTGCTCTGGAATCCTCTGCCAAGCGGTGGGCTGGACTAGATGGCCTCCGAGAAGCCCGGCCTCTCCGGGCTTCCGTGAGATGCGGCAACCAAGCCGCAGGGAACCTGAACGCGTCCACGCACCCTGGGGGCTCCCCACGGATGACCTACGGATGTGCTGGAGAACAACGGGAAAGAAGCCACTCCAGAAGCCCCAGAAAGCCGGCCTCGCATCTGCAGGTATTGCGAGAGGGGCCGGCACTGTGGCCCCCCTTTGCCCCAGCCATGAAAGGGGGGGGCCCTGGCCCCCAGGCGGGGTCTGCGCCCTTCCTCCAGTTTGCTCTCCCCACCCAGAGTCTTTGCTCCCCAGCTTTTCCAATTGGAAAAGAGCTTTCCGGGGCCTTTAAAAGGGGGCTGGGCAGACTCATGTGAGAGGGGGCTTGGGGGGCTACTGGCCTTGCGAGCCACGGGCTCCCTCCTTCCCCCAGGGGGCACGGCAGAGCGCGTCACTTGCTGAGGAGTGGGGCAGGGGGGTGCCTCCCCCACCTGGGCTGTTGGGAACAAGCTGCCCCAGCTCTGCATGCCGGCCTGTTTGCCCCCAAAGGCCCCCGAGTTCTGGTTTGAGGTACCATGTCAACCCCCCGGGGGGGGGGTGATTCCGGGTTCTTCGGAGGGGATGCCAAGCTGAGGCGGCAGGCGGGGGGTGCCAAGGAGCCCCCCTCCCTCTGCGCGTTAAGCCAGCAAGCGCCCGCCAATCGGGTCTATGATTTCAGCGCTGCCACCGCCTCGCACATGGAAATGCATGCATTTTCCCAGGCCTTGGAAACGCGCAGAAGCCACCCCTGCTCCTGGTGCACCTCTGCAGCTACGGCCCGGCAGCCGGGTCGGGTCTTCCAAGGAAAACCGGCCCCAAGCCACCAGAGGCCACATTTGGCTGTCTCCCCCCAGCCCACACGGCTCTGATCGGATCCCGGGGAGGGCGTACGGGCCTTCCCACTGCCTCCGGGCCTGAGTCAAGCTGTGGGTTTGGCCCCTGGCGCTCTGAGCAGGGGGAGCAAAGCCCGGCAAGGGCCTGCAGCCCGGGCCAGAGAGGCGGCACCGGAAGAGAGGATGCACGAACGCCCCGGAGGGTTGAGTCAGGGCTGTTGCAAGAAAAAGGAAGGAAAGGGCTTCTATCAAACTTGGGACTCTTTTTATTATTGGCTAGAGAAACGGGACTTCATGTACGATTTAAATATGTTTTTAAGTTATCGTAAATGGAAAAAGAAGGGTGTGGGGGCTGACCCAGCGGGCTCGATGTATCTGATGATGGATGTTGTTTGTAGTTTTGCTTTGTTTTTTAGGAACATAATTTCAAATAAAAACTTATTTTAACAGAAAAAGGAAGGAAAGGGAAGATGGCTGCCGGGGAGGAGGGCCACCCACGGAAAGTCCAGCGTCACGGGGCGGCTCTCAGAACGGCATCCAGCCCCTCCAGGAGGCCAGAGAACGGGCAAAGTGCTGCAGGAATGGGGGTGCACAAACGTGACTCGCATCTCGGAAGAAGGGGACGCCCCGGACTCCAGGAGCAACCCGGGGGGGCAACAGAATGTCCGGCCAACATGGGCGCAGGAGGGTGAAATCCTGCCGGGGCCACCTCGGCTCGGCCTGGACCGGCGGAGCCGCCTGGGGGCTCGCGGGGGCACCATGGCCCATGGCTGCTTCGCTTTCGGAGCAGCTGCCCCTCGTAGAGTTTGGCCAGCAAAACCGTTACTCGTCCGTGGGCAGAGATGCCAATGGCAGGAGGGCGGATGCCCACCGGGCGGGACGGTCCCCAAGGGCGCCTGGCTGAGTCGAGGGGCTGCCACGGGGCCTGGCAGAGGAGCTTTCTCTCTGTGACCGAGAGGAAGGGCGTCAGGGGAGCCTCCTCTGAATCGTGGATGTCCGGACTGTGGATGTCCGGAGAGGGAGAGGGTGGCGGGGGCAAGGACAGCCCCAAGGGGCACGTGGCCAGGGAAAGGGAGGCGGGATGGACTACAGATGGGTCCCTGTGCAGCCCCACCAGGCCTGGGCCTCTGGGAAGGATGTGCACCCCCCGCCCCCGCAGCAGCCAAGCGCCTGGGGAGCCCACCTTGGCCGAAACGCAGAGCAGGCGCTGGGGCAAGGCCTGGGCCCCCCCGCCACTCCACTCCAGCTCGTGCAGGGCCACCGGCGCTCTGGGGCTGCCCCACTCAGCCTCCGGAAGAGCCCTCAAGCCCTCCTGGTTCAGCACCCCTCCTCTGTTGGAGGAAACAGACCCCCCCCACGCTGCTCTGAAGGCCTGGCCGCTCCGCTTGCTGAGGAGCCTGGCCGCTCGCTTGGCCACATCCGTGCTGAGAGAGGCCACCAAGAGAAGGGGGCTGCAGGCAAGGGCACAGCTGAGCTCTGGGGCGGAATTCGGAGCGGCAGGCAGGCAGGCGGCTGCACTCGAGAGGGCGGCTGCACACCCGGCCAGAGCCGCAGCGAGGGGAAGATGCGGCCCAGAAGAGCGGTGGGCAGGGGTCTGCCCCAGCCGGCGGGTGTGGGGCAGCAGCTGCCGCTGGGCGCCTGTCCTACCTCCCTTGTCTCAGTGCCCTGCAGGCCGAGACCGGACCCCCGAAAGGAGCTCAGAGACCCCCGAGGGGCAGCTGGATGCTCCCTGCAGTTTGGGGGTGCAGAGGCGCTCCACGGGCAGGGCGAACGCATCCCACCTCCCCATCAGGGCACCAGGCCGCCTCCTCTCCAGCTTACCCTCGCAACAGCCCTGTGAGGTGGGCGAGGCGGAGCGTCCTCCCAGCCGCCCAGGCCGTTCCATGGCGGGGGGGCGCTCCGGGGGGACTCCGCTTCCCAGTCCAAGCCGGGGGGTCAGCCGGAAGCTCCTCGGGGCCGGGGGGCTGCTCACTCCGAGCGCCCTCGCCCACGAGCCCCGTTCCCCTTGCCGCTGCTCCGACCGGCCCCGCAGGGCTGCAGGGCTCCCCAGCGGGGCCGCCCGGGACCCGGAGCATCTCCTCCCGCGTGGGCCGCCAGCTCCGCCCCCCCCCGCCCCACCCCACTCACTGGGCCGGTACTCGTCGGTGAGGTGGCTGCCGAAGTTGTAGATGAGGTCGAGGTGGCGGCGCTCCTGCAGCAGGTCGCCCACCTCGCGGAAGGCGCTGGCCGCCATGCTCTCCATCTGCCGCTTGGGCAGGCCCAGGCTGTGGCAGGCGCTGGCCTTCTGCACCACCCGCAGGATGTCCGCGTAGTCCGGGAAGGCCTCGGGGCGGTTGATGAGGCGCTCGATGCGCCGGTTGACCTCCGGGTAGCGGGTGCCGCGGTAGGGGATGCGCTGCTCTATCACGCGGCCCGTCAGGCTGCTGCAGTCCTTCAGCTCGCAGAGGCGCTGGAAGACGCGCATCATGCGCCGCTTGAGGCGGCCCTCCAGCAGGTAGGCGGAGTCCGCCCGGTCCAGCTCCTCCAGGTCCAGCTCCCGCTCCTGCAGCCGCCGGATCTCCTTGGAGTAGACCCGCAGCAGGTTCTCCAGGTCCTGGATGCGCCGCTTGGAGACCGCGCGGGGCTTGGCCGCCTCCGGGGCTGGCTCAGAAGGGCTTGCGGGGGCGGCGGGGGCGGCCGTGGCCAGGGAGGTGCCGGACACCGGGGTCGGCTTCTTCTTCTGGGAATGGGCCCGGAAGACAGTGCAAAGCTCATTGATGTACACGTAGATCTTGCTCTGGCGCGCTTTCACCCGCGCCAGGCAGCGGCTCAGGACGTTGTGGAACTCCACCGAGGCCAAGAAGTCGGGGCTGGTCTTCTGGTGCCGGCTGGCCAGGTAGGACATCACCTCCGGGTGGTCCAGCGTGTGCTCCGAGCAGAAGGCCAGGAACTGAAGGAGGAGAGCGGAGGCCGGTCAGGAGGCACGAGCCCAGCGCCAGTCCCCAGGAGCGTGGGACAGAGCCCAGCGGCCACGTCCCGCGGTGCTCAGAAAGGAGCATGCACGTAGGCCAGGGGACGGCCCCTCGCGGATGCGCAGATGGGCTGCCCGTGGTCATTGCCAGCTTTCGCTCCCGGTCTGCTTCTGCCCAGAGCGCCGGGAGGGTCCCGGGCGAAGCAACCCCGTGCTTAACCCACACTGGCCTGCTAGCTTCACGGCCAAGTTGTCTAACCCCCAAGTGACTCGTGGCATGGGTCCGTACGGTGATCAAGAGGGTGAACGCCACCTTTGGTTGCATAGCCAGAAGTGTGGCTTCTAGATCCAGAGACGTGTTACTACCACTCTACATGACTCTGGTGCGCCCGCAACTGGAGTATTGTGCTCAGTTTTGGGCCCCTCGTTACAGGAAGGATCTAGCCAGGTTGGAGTCAGTGCAGCGCAGGGCCACAAGGTTGGTGGCCGGTTTGCAGGGGAAGCCGTATGGGGCGAGAGTGAGGGAACTGGGTCCCTTCCGCCTGGGGAAGAGGAGACTCAGAGGGGATCTGTTGGCGACATGCGGGTATGTGAGGGGGTGTCACACGGAGCTGGGGAGAGACCCATTCTCCCCTGCAGAGGAGGGCAGGACGCACTCCAACGGAGCCAAGCTCAGGGAGCCAAGGTTTCGTTTGAATGCCAGGAAGCACTTCTGACAGTCAGGACCCCGAGGGTGTGGAATGGGCTTCCACGAGAGGTCGCTGAGGCCCCATCAGTGCGGGTGTTCAAGGATAGGCTGGAGGTCCACATGGTGGGCATGTCATGAGCGGAGCCGGCTGGAGCCAGGGTCAGACTAGATGGCCCGGAGGCCCCTTCTGCCTCGCTCTGTTTCTATGAGCAGAGCCGGCTGGAGCCGGGGTCAGACTAGATGGCCCGGGAGACCCCTTCTGCCTCGCGCGGTTTCTCTGTTCACACATTACTGCTATCCAGCCTGCCACGGAGCCACAGGCACTCCGCCCCGCACTTGCGCATGACAGCCTGCCTGTTTTGAGCCCATGCACAACCGCCACATCCACCACCACAGCCAGAAAATGCCCATCTATAACCATGCATGACCTGGGAGGCCTTTTGAGAGAAGAGACCCCTAAAGAGGAGGACACCGCTAACAATAAATTGCTCCTCCTCCACCTCGTGTTTGAGAATTACTCAAGAGAATAATGAAAGCAAGCTTTTGGTTTTTCTTCCCCCAGCAGCAGGCTCGCAGTGCAAGTAAGGTCAAGGCCCTGCAAACTCTCACCACCCGAGCGGGAGGACAGAAAGGTGCTGCAAAGGATGGACACGCGAGCGCATTCCGACAACCAGGTGCCCGTTTTCCCTCCGGAAAGAAGGGGAAAGGGAAGGGGAAGAGCCGCCGGCGCGGCCGCACTTGCCTCGGCGAAGAGGCGCCCGTTCCTGGCGCGGAGGGTGGCGGCGTCCTTGCCCGGGCCGGGCTTCCTGGGGCCCGAGTTGCCGGGGGCCCCGGAGGAGCGGCCTGGGGAGGCCCCCCGCGCCTGCTCCCGCTCGGGGGGGGCGGGGCTGCCCTCCTCCTCCTCCCGCTCTTCCTCCCCCTCCTCCTCCTCCTCGTCGTCCAGGACGATGATGCTGCCGCCGTCGCTGTCGCGGTCCTCGCTCCGGCCGGAGGCGGCCATGGCGGGCCCCGGGCGGGCCCCGGGCAAGGCCGGGGCAGCAGGCGAGCGCCGCAGCCCAGGCGGGGACCCCGGGGACGGCGGCGCGGCGGCCCCCTCGGGCGCGGGCGAGCAGCGCGGCATCGGGCGGCCAAGAGGAAGGGCGGCGCGGCGGGCAGAGAAAGAGCGGCGCTCCGCGGACTCGCTCGGAGCCGCCGGCGGAACCAACGCCTCTCGCTCGCCCCCCCGCTGCCGCGCGCCGCGCAGGAGCGGAAGTGGCGCCTCACCCTCCGCACGCGGTCGCCATCTTGCTGTACGTACCGAGGGGACGAGGAGGAGGCGGAAGCAGCCGGGCCCTTCTCCGACCTCCTCAGCCTCCCTCCAGCCCGAAGGCGCGGGGCGCGTGCCCCTGCCCCTCCGAGCAATTCTCTCCCCGCGCCATCCAGTGCGGGGGATCGCGGGCGCCGCCATCTTGTCGTACGGAACAAGGCGCCGCAACGCTTTCCCCTCCCACGTGACTTCCAGTCGCCACGCGACCACGCCCCCCCGGCCCGTCCCATTCCGGCGAAGCGGGGTTCCCCGGGCAGGCTTTGAAGGGGGCCGTGCGGGATGCATTTAAAAAGTGACCCCCGTTTGGTGGCGGCCAATCAGGGGCCGAGGCCTCCCCACCCCGCGCCCGCTGCTCCTGCGCATGCGTGCGTCACTTCCCTCGTCCTCCCCCCCCCCCGTGCTGCTCGATGGCGGCCTCCACAGAGGAGTGGCGCAAACAAAGCGCGACGTAGTAGAGCCGCCTCGCAGCGCCTGGAAGCGAACTTCCGGGTCCCCTGCCAAATCGAGCCATCGCGTTCCGTTTTCTTTTTCGTTGGCTGCCCGAACAGCCTTGGCTGATGGTGTTGGGAAAATTTGGATAAATCCTGTCAGAAATGCATTGCTTCTGTGTGCTTTTGCATTGCGGAATCAATCCTGCACTCCTCAAAATCAGCATCTTTCCAAGCTAAGCCACTGTTTAAAATGGCACTCATCCCCTTCTCCTTTCTCTCACCTTTAGCTGTTAGCTGCACTAGAGAGGCCATTTAGTCCAAATATATATTGCATGCCTTCACATTGATTAAATAATCATTGTTGGAATTCAGTTTACCAGGAAGTGTCTTTTGCTAGCCCGGAGGGCTCCATGTGCCCTGGGCATTCAGAATGGTGCGCATGCAATACTTAGGGTCTGAGTCTGGATGAGCTTATAAGCTCATGCATAGTTTCTCAGTAGCTTGAATTTACATGTCTTAAGCAGACCTGGAGATGGGTTCAAGCTACTGAACTAAAGTGTCAATACAGGCAATCAGCAATATTGTAATCGCATTGTTACAGTGTGATTGACTGACATTTCTTTACCTGTTCTGAATGAGATGATCTCAGAATCTCATTGTAATGTCTGCATTCTGTCAGGAATTGCTCTTTACCTGCGTACGTGACCAGGAGGGTATAAAATACACTGTGGTTGTATTGAAACCTTGCAGCAAGTTTACCTCTGCCTGCCTGGTAATGCATTATCGTGAGTACGGACCTGCGGGGAACCTGGGCCAAACAATAAAGGCACAGATGGTCTGGACGCTTCATCTTTCCCACGAACCCGCGTTTTATTTCCTCCTCACAAATTGAGATTCCGGGATTTTCTGACAATGGGCCATATGAAAATGGAATGAACTAGGCGGTGGTGGTGGTGCGGATGCCCCCGGTGGGGCTGCTGCGATGCCCGGTGCCCCTGCCCACGTGTCCGTGCGGGAGAGCGGGCGCCTGGTGGAACCGACATGCTGCTCCCAGGCCTTTCCGATGGTGTGCAGCGGCACTGCGCGAATGAATGCGTGAATCGATCCCAGCGCACAACTCCGGGGCGGATCGCGCAGCCGTCGGTCTGTGTGCAAGCGGTGCGGCGAGCCATCGCTGGAAGCCCCATGGATTCCCCCAGAACCGATTACAGCTGGGGCGTCTCAATCCAGATCCGGCTGCGAGATGGGGGATGCCGGGCGCGGCAAAGGATCTGGCCATGGGCACAGGCCGGCCTCGGGAAAAGGAGGCCGTGAGGTGGCACGATTCGATATGGGGGAACCGGGCCTTCAGGGGACAAGAGACCCCCCTCAAGTCCCTTGAAGGCTGCCCCAAGGAGGGGGTCCAGGCCTCTTCTCACTGAGTGCGGCACATGGGATGCGCTCCCCAGAGGTCCGCCTGGTGCCGTCGTTATTTGTTTTGGGGCACCAGGCTAAGACCTTTTTAATCATACAATATTTTAACAATGTTTAATATTTATGGGTTTTAATGGTGTAGCCAGGGTGTTTCCGGGTTTTTAACTGTATCCGTATGATATTTATTTCTGTGAGCCGTCCCGAGGCTACATAGCAAGGGGACGGCATACAGAACCTTTAAATAAATAATAAATAAATAACATAAAATGGGATAATCCAGACAAACAGCAATAAACCAGATTCGGGCAGGAAAAAATTCCTCACTGCCGGAGCCAGGCGACAGGGGAGCCTGGCACCCTGAGAGGAGGCTCTTGCACACCTAAAGGCCTCCAAGGAGACAGTCGCCCATACTCTGGACTGCTTCACGAGCCTGTGATCGATTCGGCAATCCACCCGTGAACTGCGGGGGGGGGAGGCGGTCCCCTGCCACTCCGGGCCCCGCGTGGGGGGAAGCGCGAGTCTGGGGGCTCTGCTTGCGGCACGAACACAGGCCGTGATGCCGGGAGGTGAACTGGGGCCCCCGCACACAAGGAAAAACCAAGGGGAGACTCGCCTGCTCGCCGGATGAACCACGCTGCCCGATCACACACAAAAATTTATTGAAAAACTTCCGTACAAACATCGATTAGAAAACAGCACATATAAGGAGTATCAACACTAACGAAGAAGAGAGTCAGAGAGATGCTGCCGAGCTCCACGAGGCGCCTCTGCTCCACGAGCGGCCCCCTCACTTCCGGTGGGCGGACGCCGTGCCAACCACACACTCGTTCACCTGTGGTGCAGAAGGGGCAGTGGGGGGTCGTGGGAGCCCCGGGCAGGAGGAGCCGCCCCCTCCCGAGCCAGAGCTGGCTCCGGCCAGGCCGGGCCCTGCGCCCCCTCGGTCCTGTGGGCCAGGCCCCGGCGGGCGAGAGGGGCGTTTGGGACGAGCGGCCCACGCCTGGGCTCCTCTCCACCTGCCCCCCCGGGGGCCACTTACCTTTCGGGCAAAGCGGAGGGAGTTGAGGGACTCTCCGAAGTTCTCCTCCAAGGGAGAGATGTTCACGAACATGAGCCTGGGGGGCAAGAAGCAGCTTGTTCAGGGGACGAGGGGCGGGGGGACACACAGAGGAGACCAAAGGCAGCACACCCTCCCCCCCCTGCCCCCCCCCCCAGGCCGGGCTGCATCCCTCTGCCGGCAGCCCGGCCCGCCGCCCCTCGCCGACTCACATCTTAGAGTTGCCCCCCAGCGAGTTCTGGAGAAGGTAGGTCAGCTTGCTGTTGCGGTAGGGGATGTGGGCCTCCTGCGGGGAGAGGTTTGGCGTCGGTGCCATCGCTGCATCGCCCGCGCGTCCCACCTTCTCGCTCCTCGAGGAGCCCGAGGCAGCCGGCAGGGCTCCAGGTGAACAAGTGCACCGCTGGCCCCGAGCCACCCAGTACAGCCTGTGGCCGAGCAGGGTCGGGCCCCAGAGCTCCCAGGCACCCAGTCCAGCTCGCCCCCCCGCCCCGCGGCACAGGCTCCCGTGAGGACGAGGGCGACGGCCAGGCTGGGCTCGGGCTTCGCTGGACACGGCCAGCGTAGAGCGGCTGGGCCAAGCGATTTGGCAGCCGCCTCGAGCGTGGCGAGGGAGAAGGGAAAGAGCCCTGCCCGCCTGGTGCGCTTCCGGGTGCCGGGACGGTGCGGCGCACACGGTCCCCCAGTCATCCCCGCGACGCCCGTGAGCCGGGCCAGCATCCCCACAGCCCACGCAACGGGAACAGGGCTCTTTCGTCCCCGCGCGGGCGCCCACCCACCTTGTTGCTGAGGGCCGTGATGACCAGACCCAGGTTGGAGAGGCTGCTGTTGATGGCCTGCGTCTCTCGGAGGCGATCCCCCTTTGAGAGCGACTTATCCAGGCGCTCGCTGCCGGCCAGGTCCACCAAGCTCAGCACAGCTGCAGGAAGAGGCCGAGTGAGGGGGCAGCGGCCAGCTGTCCTCCCCCAGACCCTGTTCCTCTCTTCCTCCCAGATGGCCCTGGAGAGCTTTTCCGCCCAAGCCCAAGGTTACTACAGCAGGGCCCCAGCCAGGAGAGCAGGTGGGAGGGAGGGGGCTCTCCACGCATTCACCAAACCACCCGATGCCCCCCCGTGCCCCCGCTGGAACCACGCACAGGAAGTGTGGAGCTCCCGGTTGGCGTTCTGGCCCTCGATGCGGAGCTGGAAGAGGCTGTGGCTGCGGGAGGAGCGCTCATTGAGGCTCGTCTTGGCCACGGAGCGCTGGGCTTTGGCCGTCCGCAGCAGCTTCAGCACCTGGGGGCAGGAACAGCGCGGCGGGGCTCAGCAGGCGTGGCGGGGGGGGGGCTGGCCAAGGAGCCTGGAGGGGCACGGCTCTCTGGAGGCTGGAGGGAAACTCCCCGGTTGCCCCTCCGGGAGATTCTTGCCCGAGGCCCCACGGGAGATGCGGTCCCCGCAGCGCAAGGGGCCGAGCGAGCTGCAGGGAGACAGGGCGCCCTGGACCGACTCCTGGCAGCCTCCAGGAACACCTGCCAGCGCCCAGTGCAGGGAAGCGCTTCCCCATGGGAGGAGCACGCGCTCTGGGGGCTCAGGACGCGCCAAGGAACCGCCACCAGCCCTCGCCGCCCCGTCGAGTGGGCAGTGGCAGGCACCCATCTCGGCGCTCGGTGCAGGAGGCGCCTCTGCCAGCGAAGAGCCGCGAGCCCTCCGTGCCAGTCCTCGGGGGGCTGCGCCACGTCCCCGAATCGGATGCGAGGCAGCCCCTCCGAGCCACGAGTGTTCTCGGTCTCTCGGGTGCACCTGGGAGCGCGCACACGCTCACCCTCGCGCTCACCCCCCCCCCAGTACCTCCTGCTCCGAAGCGACCGGCACGTAGCACAGATGGGGGACGTGGAGCTCCTCGGTGTGCTGGCTCACCCGCCGGATCTCCAGCTCGGGGCTCAGCTCGGGCCGCGACACCAGCAGGTCCCGCAGCGACTCGTTGTAGATCTCCAGGAAGTTGGCAGTAAACTGGTACTGCAAGGGGGGAGGGGAGGGGAGGGGAGGGGAGGGGAGAGAGACGCAGGGCTTGCTACTGCTGCTGCTGTCGGGCCAGGCCTGGGCACGTCCCAGGGAGAGGCCAGGCAGCGGCTCCGGGCGCCCAGCCAGCAGGGGCGCCCTGCAGAGCTGCTCCCCTGCTCCCCGGCCTGGCCCCCACCCGCAGCACCAGCTCTCTGCCTCCGAGAAAGCAACGCAGCCGGCCCCCCGCTTCTCTGCACCCTGCTGGGCTCCGGCCAAAAACAGGGGCCCGGGTTAGCCACGGCAACGGAGGCTTTTCCACTCCCGGCATGTCCGGGAGCCCCGGCCTCTTAGGAGCCAGCTCCAGTGCCTGCAGCAGAGAGCTGGGGTCAGACTCTTTCCGCACGTAGCAGGCCTTGCGAGTGCCGCAGGGCTGCCCCCCCGCCGCCGCCCCCACTCACTCCATAGGCAAGGGGTCTCCTGCTTCTCCTCACCTTCCAGCCCTTGGCCGCCATCTCGTGGGAGGTCTTGAAGATCTGCTGCACGGCCCGGGGGATCATGCCCATGGTGTCTGGGCTGAGGTCGTCGGGGCCCTCCATGGTGTACGTCTTTCCACTCCCCGTCTGCCCGTAGGCGAAGATGCACACGTGGTAACCATCCAGGGCGGACTGTGGCACAGGGGGAGAGGCTTGCAACGGGCAGCCCACCCAGCACGGCCGCCCCAGGCCGCCCCGGCCACCCCCGCTACCTGCACGAGCAGGGAGATCTCCTCGAAGACGTCCCCCTGGGAGCTGGAGGGAGGGAAGACCCGGTCGAAGTGGAACTCGTAGGTGATGTCGTCCTTGCGCTCCCGGCCAACGTGGGACTGTGGGGAGAAGCAGCTGCACTGGCACCGCAGCCCCGGCCAGCGGGTGGGCCGCGCAAGCGCCGGGCCTGCCAGCAGCTGCCCGCTCCTGATCCGGAACACGCCGTCCGCAGAGCTGGTGCAGCGGCTCTCCCGGATGAAGGGCGCCAAGAGCCTTTCTTATTTATTCTTTAATTAATACTTATTGTTTATTATTAATTTACTTAAAACTTCTGCATGCCGCCCCTTATACACGGCATCTCAGGGTAGCTTACGATTGTTAAAGCAACCACAATAAAACAGCAATAAATAGCAACCACAAACACAAATTTAACTAGTTGAATAAAAGGAGCTGTTAAACGTTAAAATTTAAATTGGTTTGTAAAACAACAGAGAAAAAGATTTTAGTCTGGCGCCGAAAAGAGTATAAACTCGGCGCCAGGCACACCTCTCTCGGAAGCACGTTCCATAATCTGGGTGCCACCGCAGAGAAGGCTCTCCTCCAAGGAGACGTTCTTCCCACCTCCTTCCAGAAGGGTCTTTGGAACATCTCCCTTACAAGAGCCTCGCCCAGCAATGCTGCCCAGCAAACCACGGGGGGGGGGGCAGTGCAGTGCCGCCCGCCAGCCTGGCTGCCCCACCATAGCCTCCCCCCATCCCCGAGAGGGGCGCAGGCTCCCTTACGTCCTCCTCCTTGGAGAGCACGAGGCTCCTGTTGTCCTCAGCCGGGAAGCTCAGGTGGCCCATCCCCTTCTGAGCTGCCTGCTCGTCGGCCAGCAGAGGTCGGACGCGGCAGAAGACGCGGATGTTGCCCTGCGAGAGCCAGAGAGCCCATCAGCCCTGGCGAGGGGGTGGCGGGGCGGGCGCTTCCCCGGAGGGAACCCCCCAGCTCACCTTCAGCTCCTGGACCGTGTTGTGCAGCAGCCGGCGCTCCATCTCCGACTCGTGCAGCTTCTGCTCCAGCAGCTCCACCCGGGCCCGCAGCGCCTCGTTCTCCTGCCCTTGCCTGGCCAGGCTCTCCTCCGCCAGATGCAGCTCGCGCTACAAGGCAGAGGGAGGCCCCGGCTGGTTAGGGCTGGCCGGCCGGCCGGCCAGCCAGCCAGGCACCCATGTGGACTCAGGCCCTGAGCAGAAAAGGCTCCCAGGGGCCAACAGACGTTCCCCACGTGCTACGATCCAAGCAGCGAGGCCACCGACCCGGGCGGGGAATCTGCGCTGGAGGGACTGTACTGGGAGAGGCGGGTGCCGGGCATCCCGTCCCGCAGCCCTCCCTGCGAGGGCCACCCAGCCCCTTGCGAGGGCGAAGTGAGGGTGCCGCGGAGCTTGAGAGAGCAGCCGCGGGGTCCCTGCCCGGCCCAGGCGGGCTGCTCAAGGGCCAGCTGGCCCCAGAGGGCGAACGCTGCTTGCGACCAGGTGGACGCTCCGGCTCCTACCCGGCTCGGGATCGGGACACGAGGAAGGCTTTCCACGCGGCCAGCCTGCCCAGCGGCAGACGCCGCGCTCCTCGTAGAGCTGCGTCTGACTGGAGCCTGCCTGCGTAGCAGCCCTCAGGCACCAGCCCCCTTGCTGGGCGGCTCCGGCAGGCAGCCTGCCGCGTTCACAGCCCCCTGAAGACACCCCTGCTCCAAAGCAGCCTCCTGCGACCGACTGGCCGTTTTGCCGAGCTTATCAATGCTTTTCATGTCTCAGACACGCCTGAACACTTTCAATATGCTCGTATGCTGCTCTACGTGTTCTGGCCACCATACAGCTTAAATCTAGCCATTCTCACCACTGTATTACAGGAGTACAACCAAGTGAACATTTAAAAGATAGAACACAAGCACACTCCTTTTTCTGATTAAAATACAGAAAGGCCTCTTACGTTCACAGGGCCATCTTCGTTATAGCTAGCCTCTGCACAAGCATTGGGAAAAGCTGGAAGACCCTCCAGCAGACCTCTGAAGCAAAAGGGGTGCCCCTTTCTCAGGAACCCCCAGTGACCGCATGCTTTCTGGAGCGGAGAGGAGCCGGTGTCCCACCCCGTCCCCTGAGCTGCAGAGCCACAGCAGAGGACGGCGACCCCCGTTCAGGCCCAGCCCCGCTCACCTCCTGCACATCCAGCCGGGCAGCCAACTCCCTGCCGCTCTCCTCCATGGCCCGGTTGGCCCCCCGGAGCTCCCCGATGTCGTGGGCCTGGCTGCACAGCGTCTCCTCCAGCTGCCGCTCCTTCTCCTGCAGGGCCAGCACCTTCTGCAGACGGCCGTGGGCCTCCTCTTGGCACAGCTGCAGTTCGGCGGCCAGCTTACTGCGGGGAGCGAGGGGGCTCAGATCCGGACGCCACGGGGCGCCGCGCCCCAGGCCGCCCCCCAGGCTGCCCCAGCTCACCTGGCCCGGCTGCTCAGCTCGTCCTTCTGGGCCACGGCTTGCCTGAGCTCGGCCTGCAGCCCGCCCAGCTGCTGCCTCAGGCTCTCGTTATCCCCCGACAGGCCCTGCACCTTCTCCTTATAGGAGCCCACACGGGCGCGGAGGTCGCTGACCTGCCCCTTCAGGTCCCAGGGCGCTCGCTTCTTCTCCCCCCCGCCGGTGGGAGCAGGGGCTGCAGGACAGGGAAAGAGAAAGGGGGTGAGGAGAGGGGGCGGCACGGGCTGCCCCCCCTCTGGGGCCCTTCCCGGGGGCTCACCTGTCTTGGGGGCTGCCGCGGGCACCGGCCGACGGGTCCCGGCTAAGCAGCAACGGGGAGAAAAAGCACAGGAAAACCGGTGAGGCCCGGGAGCAGCCCCCCCCCGGTCCCCCGCCCTGCTTGCCCCCCACCGTTCACCCGGCGCAGGCGAGGAGACGGACGTGCCAGGGGAACTTACCGGAGGTCCGGGGGCCGCGGGGCGCCGCGGGGGCTGCTCTGGCCAAGGGGGCTCTCCTGGCGGGGCCGGCGGCGACGCGGGCGCGCTTCTGCGGAGGAGGAGGAGGAGGAGGAGAAGGAGAAGGCGGCGGCGCGGGGCCCAGCCCCGGTCCCCGCCGGCCCCGGTCCCGATGCCCGCCCGACCGCGAGGCTCCCAGGCCGTACCTGCGGCTCCTGCCCGGGCGGCGCGTTCTCGTCGTCGGCGGGCCGCTTGGGGCGCAGGCCGCGCACGGGCAGCCGCGAGGCGCTCCCGGGCGGCGGCGGCGGGGCTCCCCCGGCGCCGGCCGCGTTCATCTTCTGCTCCCTCAGGGGCCGCTGCACGGGAGGCAAGACGGGGCTGGGCGCGCGGGGCGGGGGGCGCCGCCGCGGCCGCGTCCCAGGCCCCCTCCCCGGCTCCGGTGAGCCGCCCAGCGCCCCGCGGGGACCCCCGGCAGCCCCGGCCGCGGGCTCCCGCCCCCGCCCCGCCTCAGCGCCCGCCAGCGCGGCGGGACGGAACTCTGCACATGCCCAGGCGACGCCAGCCGGCCGCCGCCGCTCGCTCCTGACCTGCGCGCGCTCCATCCCGGTCCTCCAACGCCCGCGCGTTCAAACGGGCTTCCCGTCGGCCCTAGCGAGGGAGGGGGAGGAGCCGCGGCGGCGGCCTGCGACGCGCGCCGCAGCCAATGGGCGCCTGACTCCGCCTCCGCTAATGGAGCGGGCGAATCCGCTCACAGGGGGCTCGCCGGGCCCGCCACCGCCCCTTCGGTGGTTCGCCCAGGCCGCGCAGGCGCTCCTCCAGCTGCGTCGCCAGCGTCGCCGCGCGCGCGCCAGAGGGACCGGGAGGGCGGAGGCGCGCGCGCGCGCGCGCACCTTCAGGGCGGCCCCGACCTCCCGCCGCCGCCGCCGCCGCCGCGCCGTGCGCAATGAGGCTGCGAGGGGGCGGGGCCCTGCGGGGAGGGGCGCCGCCACGCCACGCCCAGTGACACTCTCCCTCCCTCCCTCCCTCCCTCCCGGCGCCCTCCCTCAGGCAGCCACTCCACAGGTCGTGCCCCAGGCAGCCATTCTACAGGTGCAGCCTGCGCCCCAGCCTCCACCTGTTGAGCGCCCCCCCTCCTCCCCGCTGGGCACCTCCGGCGGGGCGGGCAGGCAGGCAGGCAGGCAGCGGCGTCACCCCGGGAGGGGCCGCTCTCGCGGCCGCCTTTGCGGGCAAGAAGCGGCGAGAGGTGGACGCGGCGTGTCCCGCAGGGGAGGGGCGGCCGCCGCGTCCGTGCCCGGCCCGCAGCCCGGGGCCCCCCAGTGGGGAGGGAAGGGGGTGTGCCGGGGGCGGGCCGGATCGCCTGGGGGCGCGGGGCTCCCCGCCCTGAAGGT